TCACACCCCGAAACCGAAAGCGGAAACGTTCCGGGGCGGAGCGACGTCATGTGTAGTATCACAACAGTTGTATCATAATAAGCATAGTAAACGCAATCCAGACATTGAATACATACAGGAAAAGATTTACATTGTCTTAATACAAAGTTTATACATATTAGTATATAGCAAAAGTAAAAGACGTGACTCCAAAACGCTCCGTCTTCTCCCAAGAGTCGGCAAGATTACCTGTCTATTGATGTCCTGAGAATACAAGCAGTTTTAAAATATCAGCATAAAGCTGGTGAGTTCATAAGCTGTTAATTCTGGTAAAAGATATGTTTCTTTGATTCTTTGAAAAGTTGTTTACCAAGAAAATCCCATATTTTCTTATGAAAGAGGTTTAGTTTCTCATTAGTTATACGATAAACCATTGTTTATGAAAGTTTGAGTTGTTCCAAGAAAATCCTATATTTTCTTATGAAAGAGGTTTAGTTTCTCATTAGTTATACGATAAACCATTGTTTATGAAAGTTTGAGTTGTTCCAAGAAAATTCTATATTTTCTTATAAGTTAAAAGTTAGTTATCTATACGCGAGTATTTACTATACTCGGAAGGCGGTTTTCTTTTCGAAGCTCTGGTTACACCCAGAGGAGTATATTAGAAGCTCTGATCACACACAGAGGAATTATATTCGAAGCTCTGGTTACCCCCAGAGGAATTATATTAGAAGCTCTGATCATACACAGAGGAATTATATTCGAAGAGTAAATTATTGCTACCTAAGTTGTGAGTGCCATAACCGTACTAAGACTGGATAAGGCACGTAAATGGGCCAGTATCATTTATGACTTTGTCACCCCTGAACCGAAGGGTTCCACTGTAGCTAGCAGCGAGGGTGTGGGATAGTCAGTCCTATATAGATCTATACACAACAGTTACGCTCTCCCTCCAAGAGATTATGGTTATAAGTCGTAGCCCTCCACTCACGAATCCGGGGGAGTGTTACCGAGGACATGTCTCAAACTTAGCCTAACGTATTTACAAGAGATAATACAAAGATCATTTTATGATTTGTGTAAATCCTTTATGAAATAATACATATTATGATAAGGTTCACGAGTTCCTTGCTTTAGATTTGAAAACTATTACTACGAGTTGATTTCCTTAATCGATTTGTAAAACAGTTTTCTGAGTTAAAAGCATGTTGAATATAAATTCATTTTATACAAAAAGAGATAAATCGAGCACAAGTTTCCTTGTGCTTTTGCTTGTATTCCCCACCTGAAAACATGAAAAACTCGGAAAAGTATAGGGGTATGAACTCACCTGTCTTGGGTGATTCGGATGGACGGATGGTATAGGATGCTATGTGTCAAGTGAGGACTTGAACGCACACTCGGATCCTATTGAACATGCAATGGTACATTTATGTATCTAATTAGTCGTTTAATAACCAATTAAGTGAGTTAGGGCACCCTAATACATGAAAACACTTTGCTACAAGTGCTAAGAGTACTAAGGGTTGTATATAAGGTGTGTATGACCTCACTATGGAGTTTACACTTCAAATGGTGGTCCTTAGGGGTGTTTACGGTTTCTGGACCACATCCCCCATGAGTTTACGGCCGTAAACTCATGGAAGTGGTGCCATTGGGTGTTTAAAGGTCTTATATCACTCAAGGAATTAAGCTAGACTCGAATCAAGGGCTAAGGAAGTGACTAGGGCTCAAAATGGACCTCCTTTGGAGTTTACGGTCCTTGGACCACTCCTTGGGAGTTTATGGTCGTAAACACATGGGTTTACGGCCGTAAACTCATGTTTGCCCATTTCTTTCGTGTTTGGGTGTTTCTATCTTATGCATGCAAGGTTCTAGTCACTTATACAAGCATTGGAAGGTGTTAAGGGCACTTAAACACCCTTAGAAGGTGTTTACGGTTTTGGGAGACCTTCCCAAACCGTAAACTCATGGTTGTACATTCCTTTCATGTTCTTGGGGTTTCTAGTTCATGCATGTAAGGTTCTACTCCTTTATACACACATTAGAAGGCATTAGGGGCATCTAAACACCTTTTGGAGGTGTTTACGGTTTTGGGAGACCTTCCCAAACCGTAAACACATGTTCATGAGGACTTTTGGTGATTTTCAAATGTAAACAAGTTCATATTAAGCACACAAGAAGCTAGGGCAAGTGTACTTACGATCTAGGAGTTTGAATGATCGATTTTTGGCCAAGAACATTAGTGTGTGTTCTTGGTGTTCTTGGTGTTTTGAAGAACACTTGAAGATCTAGTTAAAAATGAAGAATTCATGGATGAAATGGTGTATAAACACTAGATTAAGTGTTGTATGAACGAATTTAGGAAGGAAAACTTACATTTTTGGTGGATTTGGAAGAAATGTGTGATGATACTTGAGAGGAAAAAGGCTTGGTGTTCTTGAGTGGGAAGTGGAAAAGTGGGAAATGGAGTGTAAACTCATGCTATATGCATGAGTTCATGTCAAAGGGGGTTTACGGTCCAAACCCCTTGTTTGGCCGTAAACACCTAGTCAAGGTGTTTATTGCTTATCTCGTTACACAACGCACCTAACAGACACTTCCATTTATTTGCTCGTTTGACGAAAAATTAAATTTAAATACTCAAACGGACTTAAAACCGGCCAAAAATGTTTTTGAGATGAATTTGGCTAATTTTTGAAGTGCTTGATTGCGAAGTTAAAACAATTGGAAATTTCGGGTTGTCACATCATCCCCCCGATAGAGGGAATTTCGTCCCGAAATTAGAGTTTAGGCAAGGAAGTAGGTATGAACAATCGAGTAAAGAGATGAGGATACTTCCTATTTGATTGGTCCTCGCGCTCCCAAGTGAATTTCCGGTACTCGCTTGGCGTTCCAACGCACCTTCACGATTGGGATTCGGATTCGTTTCGTTTGCTTCAACTCTCGGTCCATGATTCTATAGGTTCTTCCACGAAGTTGGGGCTCTCATTGATTTCGATCTTGATGAGTGGGATTTCGAGATTCGTGTCGGACAAGCACTCTTTCGAGTCTAAGACAGGGATAGATTTGGGTGGAACTTATAGAATTCCAAAAGTTCTCTCTCACTGGGGGTGTATTTCCTGGGTTGGTCCTTAAAAGGCTAAGGTCATCTTCGGATTCGTATCTCCCACTGATTGGCTTTCGGAGGTTTTCTGGATCATGGGAGGTATTGGCTATTTACTGGCCTTTATTGGTTACGGAACATTTATCTCGACCTAGTGCAAAGTCGGTGAGATAATGGGGTTTTACCAGACGATGCTTTCACAATATGATTCCTAACTGGAAAGAATCATTCTATTACTCGTTTCGCTGTTTCATGGATAGAAGCTTCTGATCAGGGCTAACTTCGCCCTTAGAGATTTTCTGAAGCGCTTGACTATTTCAGGAGGTGGGTCTACTATCTCTTTCGGGATAGTATTCTTTGGAACACCTAGTAGTCCAACAAATCTCTAAGACATGCCCCATTCTCTAAGGTGTCGGCTCCCTCCAGTTTGCAGGAAGCGCGTGGTATTCTTCTCCTGGGTACTTCGGAAGGTTCGGATAAGAGAGACGACTGACCGTTCGCATTAGGTTTTCTTATTAGGTTCGGAAGAACCTTTATTTGACGCATAGGCTATGGTGAAAGTTCTTTCTATGATTTTTGATTTCTTGTATTTTCGTTATTCTCTGCTTCTCTCTTATGTCTGACGTCTATTTGTAGAGATTGTCCTCGCTGCTGTCCTCTTCTCCTTCCCCAGCTTTGCGTCTGTGCGCTATCTATACATTTACCAGACATTCCCAGATGCTGAGTTTCCGGTTTGGGATCGGTTAGCTTCTATTCTTTCCCCTAAATTAAAACTTCAAAACAAATTTCATTGTGTGTTGAAACTTGAATGAGGACATTAATGGTGGTACTTGATAGTATAGTCGATTCTATGGTGATTCATGATGGGTTTTAATTTTTGATATCTCTAACGAACATCACTCAATGGAGATTAATAGTTTGTTGTTCTTCATGATTGCATCTTCCTTTAAGGTGAAAAATTCATGTGTACCTTTTGTTTTTGGTAAACATATTGTTCAATTTTGGCCTATTAAACACATGTTCGACAAAACTCTCCACTTTTACAAACTGTAATGTTTCTTTCTTGTATCTATGCAAGAACCTTTGTTTGTTACAAAAATTAAAATTATATTTTCGTTTCTTATTTTATAAAATAAAAATCTTGAGTGTCATATATGCAATGATGTCAGGTTATTGAAGGTTTATGGTTCGTTTCTGCCACTAGCACTCTTTCGAGGTACATACTTTGTTATAACTAGAAATGTTCCCCCCGCGTTGCGGGGGTTAGAAACTGTTTGTGTGTAACCATAGTTTATTGCCTTAACTGGTAGCCACAGCAAAGTATGTTCCTATTCTCTACAATTCACCCATTTACAAACATGGTAAAAAAAATCTAAACATTGCATTGTTATCATCTGATTCTCATTCTCTACCCTGAAAATAATATGTTGTAATAAAAGGAAAATGAAAGTCCATTGCTATTTTCTGCATTCAACTCTTATATATTACATACAGCAAGTAATACATTAAGAAAAGAAAAAAAAAACTGTTTTATTGCATTTAGACCATGGTTGGGCTATATGCAAGAAATTACAATGTAGTTTTGTTTTTTGAACTTTATATTATTGTAGTTTCTAATTTGTCCCTTGTAAGCATGTAATAAAATAGAACAAAACTTTTTGAATTATGTCCAACAATTCAAAAGTTAAATGTAAGAGATAGCAATGAACTTCTATTCATCTGATTATGTTAAAATCCAACTTTCATTTTTCCCTATTACAACATTGTATTTTGGAGGAAAAGAATGTCCACTGAAAGCAAAATGCTACAATACATAATTAACTGAAAGTACATTGCTATTTCTTGTATTTAGCCCAAAACATTGAAATTGTATTTGGGGAAAATAGAATGTTTTAATAAGAAAAAAAAATGAAAGTGGCAGACTATAATAAAAAAATATATAAAAAGTGAGGAATAGAGTCGGTTAAGGAGATTATAGTTGGGGGTGAATGATAGTAAAACCCATGCTCACAACCTTAATACATTTAAGAATCCTTTCATGCAAAAACCCATGATCATAAATCATGAGATTTTATTATCTTTTTTTTCAAAGTCTATAATCTCAAACCGAATGGAACAACTAAATACGATGAATTCAACCTCCTCTTATTGCCTGCCAAAACATGAATACCACTATTAACCCTCTTAGCTCCATGGTATCGCCTATTAAACTTTACATATGTAAGCAAGGGTAAAACGGGAAAGGACCATTCGCCTATTAAACTTTACATATGTAAGCAAGGGTAAAACGGGAAAGCAAGATAAGGCAAAATAGTGCATTTCAGTGGAAAGGGTATTTTTGTTATTTTCTGTCAGAAATCCATTTACGCATTGTAGTTGATACACAAACATTATTAAATGTGGCTGATCCTATGCAATCCACACCAAAAACCCTCCCATTTATAATTTCATTTTTTCATTGTCAAAAACAAAAAAAATACATGCCCTCCCATGAAAATAAGGATGCATAAAAATTAGAAGGAACCAAATAAATGTTTTTTTAGTAAATAATTACTTAAAACAATTAAGACAAAAATAAAAGCAGTAAGGTTGAGCCGAATTTAGTGGGCTAAGCAACACCAACTAAGGGGAAAAAAAACCTTTTTTTTTGGACAGTACATATAGATAATAACAAAAAATGGTAGATTGTTCATTTCGTCCAAACACACATGTAAAGATTCATTAGGTATGCAACGTGGCCATCCGTGCAAAAGAAAATACAACATCTGTTTCTTACTTAAATATATGCAACTATGTTTCATCTGATTTTACTACCAAAAGAAAATCACCATTACCGGTTTCCTGATGATGCAAGATGACTTCCTCTACAAACACTTACACAACTATCCCATGAATTTACCGATGAGCAAACCTTTACAGCCAAATCATCTGCGAAAAAAAAACATAAATCATTATTTTTTTAATCAAAATGTCAGTAATCCAAGATTTTATTACCAATTGGTAATTTTAAGGAAAAAAATTACCTGCCAACAATGAATGGGTGAGCAGATAAACAGGTCAGCAAACCATGAAGAAGAAAACTAAATAAAAAAAAAAAAAGGAAAATCGCTACAATCATGAAACAACAAAACCGAGTATTGTTAGTTTCAAACTTGTATAAATGAAAATGAAACCTCTGTGACTGAGACTGAGATGGGTTCTTTGCTTCAATAAGAGCAATCTCCGTAAATCGTTACTATACGATTCCAAAATCACAAAAAAGGAAAGAAATTAGGGCTCATATGATCAAACACGAAAATTTAAACAACCTACCACCTTCGTCATGTCTGCCTGTCGGCCTCACCACCTCCGTTGCAGTGGAACAAATGCATACATGACTGCCTTTCCTTGTGGATTATTGACCTGCAAATCATTAAATAAAAAAACATAAAACAGGAAGTGAGATTTAACAATGAAAATTTAACAATCATCACAAACTTTAGCAATATATTTTGGTGTATTCATCATAATATAGCTTAAAGCTGAAAGGTCTCTGGTGGCTTATTATTCTATTGCATTTCAAGGGTATTTTAGACATTTTACCAACAATCAACAAATCTTGGTGCATTCTTCTTCCATCGAGCCAAAGTTCCTCTCAAAAATAGGTGCTGAAAAAGCAATATAGCTTGTGATTCCTGGATAAAGTGCTGACAAACCTGAAAATAAGATTTAAATTAGTTATAATGTAATTTCTTCAATAAGAACAGAGAATCAAGGCTGCCATGACCTCTCATATATATAATTCTGCCATTTGAGGGACCATAGGTCGGAGGAAGTCGCAGGGATGTTCTCATGTTTCTAATCATAAAAACAATGCTTTTTTTGCTTCCCGATATGATACATGGAAACCATTTACACAAACACTTACAGCCTGCGTCATAACAGGATTGAATGCAGCCAAAAGGCAGAAAAAAATTAACCAAACTTATTTGTAGTAGAAAAGAGTTTGAAGAAAGGGTGCCTTAAATCAAAACTTACTGCAGGAAATTAGCACATGGTTGTTGTGTTCGTCTTTTTTCCGATTTCCAAATTCCCCACGCTAACCCTAGAAAACAACATAACAATACCAACTAAAGCAGTAGAAATAAAAGAGCGAAATTGCAGAAAGGAAGAATACGATGGAGATACCGGTGGAGGTTTTTCACTGGCTTCCATCTCCGATATCTCTTCTTTGAAGCCACAGGTAAGAAATTGGAAACGTAAAGACATCAAAAACTTACCAACACAATTTTCTCAGTGCAAATACTTCCTCCACCCGCATCTGCATCGGGCACGGCAGAGTCAATCCGTCATATACCACTACGCAACCTGTTGCCGCGTCAGTGAAATCGGTCGAATACTTCAAGTCATGGTTTGTTTTGGTGTGCTTTTGTTAGGCATCACCGGTCACCGGTCATTATACCCAGGCCTATGGCCGACTTTCATGGAAGATAGAAAGAAACAGGAAAACTTCGGTATTAGAGGTGGTGGCCGGTGGAGGACCGATGTGAGATAATAACAGTGGGAGAAGGAAAGACAGCGAGAGAGAGACACGATAAAAGCAGTCAGAATCAGTCTAGCAGAGGAAAATGAAGCTGTGGAAGGAACCGCATGTAGAAGGAACCGGATGTAGAAGGTCATGGAAGCGGTGGAAAGTGGATCATTTCCTTAATATATATTAAAGAAATAAAGGGAAAAGGATATGTAAATCAAGGATCAAACCTGGACAAAGTATCTCAACTTTACTATTCTTTTCTTCCATAATTTTAATATATATATAATAATATGTTTGTTTGTATTATTATTATTATTATTTTTTTAAATTGTATTAAAGTAAATATTTTTAACTTTTTTTTTTTGTGAATTTGTATAGATTTTTTTTTATAGAAATTGAGGACTAATTGACTTATTTCTTGTGTATTTTACATTCCATTAAGATTTAGTGTGCTGCAATTTCCATATTTTTTTTGCATCTAAATGAGTTACATGAAGATAGCATGTATGACTTTTATACCCTTCAAATTGCACATCTGATTTATAGTTGTAAATTTGGAATGCCTTATATTGATTATCAATCTTTTTATATATATTTCGATCAAGGTATGGATGTTAGATGAAGTTTTTTCTAGTTTAAACATCTTTTTGTAACTTAAATAAAGAAACTTATAATATTATATACCTATTAATTAGAATTATGAAGAAAAAAAATATTTTGAAATCAAGTGGAAGCCCAACCAAATAAAGTTTGAATTGAAGAAGCAAAACTCATATAAAAATTTACACCGACTTAGTTTTTTTGCTTACTAGATTGAGGAAATTGTCGATATTCATAAACAAATCTAGATACATAAAACACCCACAGTATAGCTCGGATCTCCATAGCCACTGTCTTAGCTAAAAAGAAATCTACTAGTATTAGCAGTCTAGCTGCAATGTCTATCCCATAACTACTCCTTATTTTTCTATATTGCGTAATTATTTATGACAAAGAATTCACAGGGTTGTATGAGAGCAGAGGAGAGTATGATATGAGCCTAAATATTTGCAACAAATCAACATCAAAATTGACCAAATCTATGAAAGAATCTTACCTATAGGAGAACGGCGACTACGAAGAACTTCATGGAATTGTGAACGGAGGTTGGCTGCTGATTCGACGGGCTCCATCTTCTTGAAATTCCGACGAGCAACGGTGATGTGAACATGTTCGAGATGATATGTTGTGTTTATATTGATAGTAGAGTAACTGTGATAAGGGAGCAGGTGACAGCTAAGCAGTTATCGAGGTTAAAATTTCAATAGCGGTCACATGCCACTATTTGAAATCGCGGTTATCACGGTGGTATAGCGGTTTTCTAAAATTATGTACTTAATTTATATTATATATCTATACAAAATTTATCTATTAGAGTACTACTACTATATAGAATTAATATCATACAAAGTCATCTGAACATAACATAAGCCATATATAATATTTTAATATAGTAATTTGGAAACTAAGAAGTGTCAAAGTATCATTGCACCTCAAGTCGTTCGTGGTTTCTAAGTACAAAAAGAGATGAGAAAGAGAAGTTGTCATTCGTTGCTTTGTAGTTTGTAATTAATTAGATTTATTATTTGGAATTATTAAAACTAAAACTGTAGTGGGCTAATTAAAAAAAAAATACAAATTTAATATTCAAATAGTCCATCCTCGGTTTTTTCTTTATCAAGGTAGCCCAAATGTGGACGAAATTGTAAAAGCGGGTGTAGCATCGCTATAGCGCTGAACGAGTTCGCGGTAAATAGTTGTGAGTAGCGCCAATAATAGCGTCCCCGCTATTCGTAAATGCTATTTCAAAATAGCGGTTCAGTACCACCGCAAAACGCTATAGCGCGCTATTGATAGCATAGGGTGAGAATAGAGTGCGAATGGAGAGAACACCTTCGATATGTAGTGGTTGTACTTGTAGGTGATAGAGTGCGAATGGAGAGAACAAATTACTAAAATGGTCCCTGTGGTTTGCAAAATTTTCACGTTTGGTTCCCATGTTTTCTTTCGCACTTGGATGATTGCAAATTTTGATTTTATTGTGTTTTTCATCCGTCATAGAGCTAAAACAGATTATATTGTCCTTTATCTTTATATTTTTCATTATTTATATTATTAGTTTATTATTAAAAAAATATAATTTATAAAATAAATTTAAATTGGACCCACCCCAAACCCTACACCCCCCTGATGTGCTTCTCTCTCATTTCAATTTATCTACGCTGCAAACCACCGGCCACCGCCGAAAAACACCAAACACTACCAGAAAACACCAGATGTCACCGGAAAACACCAGACGCACAGGAAACCATAAGACACCACCGATCTCAACTCGAAATCTATTGATTTGCTCCATCAAGCACTGATCTTCATCACAGACACCACTAGAAGCATCATCCAACCAACATTTGTCATTGTTGGAAGGAGATCTGAAACAGTGAGAGATGGAGATTTGGTTCATGAGTCACTTTTGTTCTTCTCGACGCCCCCATCTGATCCACCGAGAGATCCGGTCATCGACTGCATTTGCTTCCTTCTCGCTCATCCTCTCCACCATCAGTTATGTAAAGGGTTTAGGTTCACTTTACTTGTCTTCCTCCATTCTTGTCACTATGTCGGGGGTAGCTTCATGACACCATGTGACATCCCCATTTTCACGACCAGAAAAGACCGATTTTGTTTATGCTTTATAAAAATCAGAGTACCTCTTTTAATAAAAATGTTGCGGAATTTGTTCCCACTAAAACATGATAAATACGTTATCAAAGCATTTCTGAAGAAAAGTATTTTTATTCATTTTAAAACATTTGGGATGTCATCGTCAATACAGAAACATAAGCATAAACAGAACTTACATTCATTATCACTAGTGATTTATATCTCCTTAATCTCTCAGTGTAATGTGACTTCATATCAACACCTGTGATATAAACAAACTGAGTGGGTCAGGTTGGGAAACCTGGTGAGTACATAGGGTTTTCAACACACAATAAATAAGTTTATTAAGTTTATCAAACCAAACAAACCTGATTACCCATTCCCGTTATCCTCACTTTACGTCCCTAAAACATCTAACACAAGGGACCTAGTCTAAGGACTTTCATCGGGGTGACAACACATGCTTCGGGGGTTCCTCAGCAATTCATGTCAAATAAGGCAACCATGTGGGGGATGGAGTACTGCTGGTGAGCACACAGTTCAAATAAACACCTACAGGTTGCGAGCCTGCAAGCGTTCCACTGGACTGTCTAGAATAGTCCGTGGTCGTCATCTATACTCCGCTAGATGACTGGATAATCAATAACATCTATATCGAGGCCTCTCATTATTTTATTTGGTCACACAACAACTATTACATCTACCCATGTTTTACCCAACACGTTTTATATATATAAAATACATATACAGTTTAAATCATTTAAAACGTGTATAAAAATATTTCACCCAGCATAAACAACAAGTATTCAGACAATATGCACACATAGCACGTAATTTATATTAAATACTTCATATCTATGTGTAAGATCAAAGGGACCATGCACTCTCTTGAAAAGGTGGTGATTCCTAACTCAGACAGTGTTTCGCTTCTTAAAAATGATTTCCTTCGACGAAACCTAGTATTATTACCACTAGAGTTTAGTCTATTATTCGCCGAGACTAATTAATAGTCTGGCTATTATTACTATTATATAAGCGTTAAACAATACTTATATAACCCATAATAATAGCCCAAGTACTTATTATAAGTTCCTAATAACGTTACTATAATTAAATAAAAGCTATATTAAAAATAGCGTAGGTGTAGCTCACTTACAGCGGGTTTTATAGAAAACTGGGCTTTGCTTGGAGCAGCGTTCCCGAGCCAAAAATCTCTTCTTCTCGGAGCCGTCGAGCACTCCGGGGCTTCCGCCTCGCTAGGGAGGTTCCCTAGGCTTTTTTTGGGGGGGGGGGGGGGGGGGGGGGGGGGGTTAGAGAGAGAAACTAGTGAGAGAAAGAAAGAATGGGAAATGTGTGAAGAAAATGAGGGTGGGAGAGGTTCTATTTATAGGGTGACAAATGGCTGAACTTGGTGCCACATGTCACCATCTAGTGGCAAGACTTGGGGAGAAAGCAATGGCCAAGATTGTGCCACAATACCCATTTTCGCACAGCACACTTCCGACTTCTAAAATCCGTAACTTTCACATACGACCTCCGTTTTTGACGTTCTTTATATCCACGCGTAGGTAAAAATAAGATCTACAACTTTCATTTTGACTCCGTCGGCTAATTCTCGACCGATCTTAAATGTAACAGTACGAGGAGATTATACTGTTAAATGTCCGCATAAAATTCATAACTTCTACATACGGACTCTGTTTTCATCTGTCTTTTTACCGTTGAGTTCCTATTAATGAGATCTTCAACTCTCATTTAGGTCGCGTAGGCCAAAAACCGCTCGATCTAAAATTCTAGTTTCGGGTTGTGCACTGTTAAGCCAAATCTTAGAAAATTCATAACTTCCTCATACGAAGTCAGATTTGGGCGTTCGTTTTTTGTATGTTCTCGGTTTAACGTATACTACAACTTTTGTTTAGATTTATAAGGCTAAAAAGTCCTCCATCGTAAATTCACTATTTGCGTCTCCCGGTGTCATGCCGGGTTTGCCGTAAAACTTCGACGGACCACAACTTCTTCGTTATAACTCGGATTTCAACGTTCTTTATATGTACCGAACCCTTGAGACGTATTCTACAACTTGGTTAAGATTATTTATTCTAAATAATCTTTTGTCAAAAAGTCGTTTTCGACCCCTATTATCTCTAAAATGACTAACCCGGATCTACGGGCGTTACAATTATCTCCCCCTTAGGATGATTACGTCCTGGAATCATCAACGAAACAGGGCTCACATGATGACGCCATACGTTATCTCTTCATCCTAAGTAATAACCGTAACTTTGATGTTTCTTCGAACAATTATCTAACTCTAAGACTTCCTGATTGCAGGCGGTGCTCGATCTTGCACTTGCTCCCTATCTCACATTAGACTCCAAATTATGACCTTTAAGTCACAATCTCGATCCTTACTGGAGACTTCTTCTTCTTCTTAACAAACTTAAGATAAGTTGTTTTATTACTAAAATGGACCGATGTGTCATATTCTAATGACTTATCATCATATGTTCCGACGCTTAGACTCAGGTCTCTTAGAGTCTTCCAGAACAGAATATACATTTCTTCATGTTCTAATCACATCTTAAAAGGTAGCATTTCTGTCACACCCCGAAACCGATGGCGGAAACGTTCCGGGGCGGAGGACGTCATGTATAGCATCACAACCAATGAATAACAACAATCATAGCAACACAACCATTACAGTGAATAATAAAAGAGTTTACATCGGTTTAAAACTTTGTCTGAAACTTTGTTTGCATTACATTTGATAGCTTGAATAGTATAAACTTAAAACTCTTATTACTTCAGTTCCTCGAAAATCCAACAAGTACCTGTCTACTGATTTCCTGAGAATACAAGCAGTTTGAAAAATATCAGCATAAAGCTGGTGAGTTCATAAGCGGTACTTTGTAATGAAAACTTGTTGATGAGCTAGCCGAAATATTTGTGTAGTCTCAAGAAAATTCGATATTTTCTTTAGTGAAAATGTAGTATTATCAGTTCTGTAATAAACCATGAATATCTGTATGCTTCCAAGAAAATCCGATATTTTCTTTAGTGAAAATGTAGTATTATCAGTTCTGTAATAAACCATGAATATCTGTATGCTTCCAAGAAAATCCGATATTTTCTTTAGTGAAAATGTAGCGTTATCGAGTTCGTATAAAACCATGAGTGTTCGTTACTGAAAACTGTAGTGATATGCAAATATATTACCTCGTGTGACTAGCTAAAGCTAATCATGAAGTATAAATATTTTATATGTAAAACCATGGCATAAATGGTTCTATTTGTAAACCCTGGCTTGGCCAGTATGCATAGTGCGTTTTAGTTCTATTTGATATAAATAAAACTGTTGAAGAGTGCCAGGTTGTAAACTATAGGTGATTTTTACATAATGTGAGTCGTATAACCATGCTTGATATGACTAGTGACCTTTCCAACGTTCTTCAGGCGTTGAGTGAAATGACATTTGTACATCACAGGTGTGCCCGCCTAACTATAGCTAGCAGTCCAGATGTGGGATTGTCAGTCCCGAATAGATCTATTCACAAATCTCACGCTCTCCCTCCAGGAGACTCTGGTTATACAGTGGTAGGATTTATCCCTGTACACCTAAGGGTACAGTAGTGAAGTAGCGCCTCACAGTATCGCACAATCTAGTTTACATGGAGTGTAGTAGCGTTCTACCGTAGTAAAAATCCGTATGTATACCGTATATAGTGATAGCTGCAGTTATGAATACCATGGTAAAGTAGTGATGTAAAATGTAAACGGTTTCTGTCTCAGTGCATATGTTTCGTAGTGAAATCTTCTATGCTTGATAAGTTTTAGAAAAATCCCAAACTATACCGATTATAGTTTGCATGTATAACGTAGCGAATAGCGTGTCGGGAAAAATTATGCAGTTTTTGTGAAAACGTCCCTTATGCTCAGCATAGCACAAAAGGGATTTAAAGTATGAGATTTGCATAAGTTTTATGTATATTCATGAAAATATTTATGTTTAGCTTGTATTCCCCCCCCCCCCCATGAAAACATTTGAAAATATGAAAAATGTAGGGGTATGAACTCACAGCTGTTGCGTGAGATCGTTGACTGAAATGAAGATCCTTGAGTTGTTGCACGTGACACTTAACGAAATCCTATTATCAAATAAATAAATATATGTATCTAAATTAGCGATTTCGATAGATAAGGTGTCATAAGAACACTTGTATTCGGTTGAGGAATGTTACCGGGACTTGATCGAATCAAAGAGAGTGAGTTTCTGAAGACACGTTTACGGTTTCTGAAGACTCGGTGAGTTTACGGTTTCTGAAGACTCGGTGAGTTTATGGTTCTTGAAGGCTTGGACCGTAAACTCAAGAACAGAGTTTACGGTTTCTGAAGGCTGACCGTAAACTCAAGAACACTAGTTCCGATTACTGATTTCGAAGAGATGAGCGTTTCTAGTCGTTCCAAAGTGACTCCAAAACGTGGTTTCTCGATGATTTCCGAAGTTTGAAGGTGTTTTGAGTGTTTACGGTTGAGGTTCTTAGAGAGAGGAGGAGAGAGTTTTTGGCCAGAAATGTTCTAATGAAGGTGGAGGTATCGCATTTATAGGGGTGAGATGGGGGGTCCACTCGTTACTGACCGTAAACAGGTTTACGGTCGTAAACGAGTTTACGGCCGTAAACACGTTTACGATCGTAACCTCACTTAGACCGGAAATGATTGATTTTTCGAGATATTCGGGTTTCTGTGCGATTTTTGGTTCCGACTCGAAAATAATTTAATTAATTATATATATAACTAGATTAT